TGCTGCTGCTGTGGTACAACATATTGGAGTCATTGCTCGTTCAAGTAGGGCTGTTGACTGTATTGTTGTTATTGTTACTTTGCTATTGTAAATTTTTTTAAAGAAAAAATTGTCTACAAGCTGACGTTGCTGATGTTGCTGACAATGCGCCAATTGCTTGGTTGGTCAGATGCCTCCACTGCCTGGCATTGTTCACGTGCTGATAGCTGATTCCTTGATTTAGCTGCCGGCTGCTGAATGCGGATTTACAATGTTCACAAAGATTTCCCATTTGAGATACCATAAAAATAGTTTAGCGCTTGAGTTTTACATTGAAATTACATATTTTTATATGCGGATGAAAATGCACTTAAATTTCCCGCGGTTTTTTATTAACTGACCTTCGCTTTAATTGCTGTGCCTTAACTCTTTTGACTTGGAAAGGTTTTGAAATTATGAATGTTTAATGGATTTTGCGGGAAAATTTAAATTAAGTAAGAGCAAAAAGTAGCAGTTTTTATTAGATTGCTTAATTGAATTTGTAAATTAATATGGAGCTGGTTCCCAGCATTGTGTCGCACGCACTGACCGCAAAATTTTTCTTTAAGAAAAGCTAAATTAAAAAAATAAAAATAATAAAAAATAATGTAGGTAAATTATAACTTTGAAAATATATTTTTAAGGAAACCAAATATATGTATTTATATACCTCGGTAACTCAGTACTGATTCTTCAGCCCAAATATTAACCCCTTCACTACCAAGTGACCATTCTTTCCAAAGAGTTTTTCCACTAATAAGGAAATAGTCGTAAAAATCTTTCTTTCCTAGCTGTTGTTATCTTAAAATTTCAGAAATAATTATTTTTCCAAAACTAAAATCTATTTTTAGAAAAATAAATAAATTTTTTTGAAGAACTTTTAAGAAAAAAATAATTATACAAAAAAAATATCTGTTAGGGATATTTATTATTACTTAGAAAATATATATTTTAAGAAAAACAAATGGACTTCGTTATCTTAGTACTGATTCTTTAGCCAAATATTAACACTTTCAGGACCATTTATTCCATAAAGTTTTTCCACTAATAAGGAAATACTATTTTTCTTATTTAACTATTTTTATCGTAAAATTTGAGAAATTATTATTTTTCAAAATTTTTATTGAGCTTGAGGCGGTTTTTAATGAAAAAACTACTGTGGAAAAGCAACAATAATTTTGAAAAAAATGGTAGAAGTGATAGCTATTTCGGAAATCACCACATTTCCTCATCAGACTTCTTTCAGTAGGATTCGATCCGACGACCTCAGCTGACTCAGCCAGTTGCCTACGCACTGTGCTAAGTTCGCCTTATAAATTGTTGTTGCTTTTTTTCACTTTTTTTCATATGAGCCAACTACAACCAAGCGCAGCTGCATTTCTGAATACAGCCTTATTTCCTTTTTTGTTACATTTTAAATCAAAACTAGTACATATTTAGTCAACCTAAGCAATAAACTGCAGCAACCCAAAGAACATACTTCAATTTAAATATTAGTATTAAAATAAATTATATATTTTTATAAATTTTAGAAATGCTGATGGGTTAGGCTAGGTTGGTGTAGCACTCGGTGCAAATAACCAAATCACTTAGACCTTGAAGGTCCATTGTCTAACCACGCAAAACTGGGGAACCTCAATGACTATTCCTCATGGAACCATTTTGAAGCTCTTATAAATTATAGGACTGGCCTTATTCCTAAACTGGAAAATTTCCTAAGATAGTTAAAGAAGTGCCTACCTAAAAAGTCTGATCTGCTCTTGGTCAAAGCTGGACAACTGCAGAAGAAGTACTCTACGGTTTCTTCCTAATTTTGAGGAGTGCCTGCCATATAGCCAATGACTGGTTACACAAGCCGTGACCATCGCAATATCCTCTCTTGAGAGGCTGAGCAACTCTTTCGTCCTTTTCTTATCTACATACTTGTGGCCATAGTAGCCTGGTTGTGCTCGTCGGGATACTCGTCTTAAATAGCTTATCGAGGGTGGGTTTAGGGGCGGAGTAGTAGTAGCGTGACCGAACCACCCATCTTTCCATAGCATCATACTTTT